GGGGCTTCGGCCGGGGGAAGCAGCCACGAGCACTCGCGCTCTGCGGTCCCGTCCTGGGCCCCTCCTCAAGCACCGAGGGAAACCTCCACCCGGCTCCGGCCGGACGCCTGGGAGCTCGCGCTTGAGGACGGGGGAAGCACTCCGGGGGCCACACCCCCGCTGGAGGGACCGGGGAGGGAAAGCGGACAGCGCCGGGGCTTCCCACTGGGTCAGTCGTTTTCATTTAAATGATGGCAACCTGCCCTCCCTTGATCTTCAATTGACAGGAACCACTTTTTTTTTTTTTTGCAGAGCCCACACCATCTGCTACATTTTCATTTAAAACGAGAGCTCGGAACTGTAGCCATTTAATCTGAATCCGCTGAACGGCTATTTTTTTAAAGGATATTAGGACTCTCAGTAGGGACGAAATTGCCTCCTAGAAAGGCGCTGATGGGACCATTGTAGGAAGCATTTGAGTTCGCTCTGAGCTCTTAAAAAGTGGGATGCTAACTGCTCAGAGGAGTATTAGCAGAGATCGTGAAACACAGTGTATGAACATATCCTGACACGAGGCACTAACCTGTCTCTTGTTATAGCATCCAAAAACCCACCAGCAGCAAGCCTGTAGTTCGACATCAAGCTTATTTAGTAATCAGGAGGAAGAGCAATTCTAGAGGCATCTCTGGAGGAGAAGGAGGAGAAATGCGTCTTTTGAAATGTTTGGGTTCCCGCCAAAGGACTGTGAGGAGACGGGAGAGGGGAGATCAGTTCTGGATTGGACAGTTTCTGAGGCGGGATTAGGAGAAACAGGGATTGGGTGTTGTCGCGAGGGGAGGGTGGTAGCCCCAGAAATAGATGAAAATAGCAAAACGGGCCCGGCGCGCTGTTGATTGTAGACTATAATCCCTCGAAGGAGAGGTCAGATAACAGCTGCATGGCCTTGGGAAAAACAAGGTTCTGTTTTCATCTTCCAACTGGTTTATCTGCGTCTGCCTCCCAGCATCGCAGCTTTAAATCTTTTCAATCCCTTATGATTTTCAGTTTCTTGAATATGGACATAGTTTAGCTAATTTACCCAGAGCCAGGGTTGTGCCTTTGGGGCACCAAACGACTTTCAAACACATTAACGTAAATAGAAATAGTTTTTACTTTGGTGCATGTTCAAGTTGCTCTTTCTCTATCCTGTCATGCATTGACGATGAGTAGACAGGAATGGTAAAAAGGTTTGGAGGCAGTGTAAAGAAAATCCTGAATCCAAAACCAAACTCGTTACCATGGAAGCAATTTCCACTCATAGTGACCCTATGGGTCAGGGTAGAACTGCCCCTGATGATTTGCAAGACTTAATGTTTACCGGAGTAGAAAGCCCTGTCTTTCTCCCGTGGAGTGGCTGGGGATTTTGAACTGCTGGCCTTGAGTTTAGCAACCCAACGATAAGCACTATGCCACCAGGGTACCTCCTGAATTGGAAAGTAGTGGAAAAACTAGACATGGAGAAGGAGAGAAACTGTTTCACAGGTGCCCACATATAAGGAGCATTGGGGAGAGGGCATAATATTCAAAAAATTATAATGTGAAAAAAAATTATAATGTGATTCAGCCCCTAGAGTGATTGAAGTTCCTAAATGGATGAATAGTAAAATTGAGTCCCCCAAAGGTTTCCTTTGGCACATTTAGTACTTTTAAAAAATAATTTCAAATTAAAATGACAATTCAATAAATGATTTTTCACTCTAAAATCTAGATTTCTAGTTTATTTGGAAAACAGGGTGGGGGCATATAGAGGGCAGAAAGGAGGTGGGGAGATCTCTACTAGACATATGTTGTGCCATATATGCTTATTTGCAACCTCTAAGAATTTACAATTTAAAGAGAAAGAAGTAAAATAGGTGAAAAGAAGGTAGATACAAGTTAACAAGCAGAGGTTACATTTGCCTTGTTCACTGCTGGAAGATTAAAGTTAATTAAGGAAAATCTGAATGAAAAGAAGAAAAAGCAAGAGCAGCCGCTTTGGGGAGAGTTCACTGGGGACCTAAGTGTATTCCAGTGTCCATCTTAGCAATTAAGAGTTCTTACTGGGCTATGCCGGGATATTTGGAAGAGAACTGCTTGCCCAACTGGCTGGAAAGGAATCTTATTTGCCCATTCCAAAGAAAAGTGATTCAACAGAATGCTCAAACTGTAGAACAAAATCACTGCTATCACACACAAGTAAAGTTTAGCTGAAGCTCATCCAACAATGGTTGCAGGAATACATTGACCAGGAGCTGCCAGAGATCCAGGCTGGCTTTAGAAGACCTAGAACAAGAGCGATTGTTGCTAATGTCAAATGGATCTTGGCTCAAAGCAGAGAATACCAGAAAGATGTTTACTTGTGTTTTGTTGACTATGCCAAGACTTTCAATTGTGTGAATCATAACAAGTTATAAATAGCCTTGAGAAGAATGGGAATTCCAGAGCACTGCATGGTGCTTATGTGGAACTT